TAGAAATTAATTCTCCTAAATGTTAACATACAATAAGTTAACATTTAACAAAAAAGGTTGAAAAAGAAAAAAAGTAATCATAGTTTAAATATTATATATAATATATTTTAAAAGTAGAAATATACATGAAAATAATATTATAATTCGGGTTCGGGTTGGTTCGGATTACTAGCATTTCAACCCAAGTCTAACCCTAATTAAATTAGGGTTGAGATTTTTTAACCCAAACCCAACCCTAATTGTAAAAATGATTGCCCAATTCTGTGAAAAATTGGGCTGGGCTCAGATTGGATACGGGTTACCCAACCCAAGTTAAACCCCTAGCCCCATTAAAGTTGAGTAGTGATACCTAAGTGAAAGTTTTTTATTAGTTATTTATGCACAATTCCACTTCCTGGCAATTCAAGGTAACAAATCGGTACAATAGTCATTTTCCATTAAAGATTGAGTAGTGATAGTTACATCGATTTATTACACTAAATTACCTAATCGAATGTTTCTGATTGGTTATTTATGCATAATATATGTAAGGGGAGGTTTTACTCTCTTATTTGTTACATAGATGGACCAATTAAAAAAAGTAGATTTTACAATTCATTGCGGTGCAAGAATCATTTTCCTTAAAGTTTTAGGTCATGAAAAAAAGTGATTAATTACTCTCTCTCCACAATTCATTGCAACAAATCGATATAAGAATCATTTTTGTTAAAATTTTAGATCATGAAAAAATTTCAAAATTCTAAAAATATTTGGATGTCCATGCCTTGCTACGTGACTAATTATGTGTTTATTTATTTATTTATTTATGGATACTAACTATGTGTTATTACTTCACGGATGAACAAAAAAAAAAAAAAAAAAAAACAGATATGGATATTGAATAGGTTAATTTTAAGAAAATTATAATTATTGCAACACCCACCCACCCTGACTGATGATGTGTATCCAACTCTCATGTGAATGGTTGATATGGTGGTTTGTGGTGAGCATTGCTCTTAAACAAAAGTTAATGGAGCATTGTAGAAAATTGAAATCCTGAATTTTGTGCTTTGAGTGGAGGCGTGGAGCAATACTGGATCCACTAACTCTGATGTTCCAAATTAAAGTATGATGTTAGTTTTACTTTACTTCATTAAAAAGGGATCAAATTTGCAGTCAAAAGTGAAAGTAAAAATAAAAATTGAACATTTGAGTCTTGAGCGGAAAAAAATTTGTCTGCAAAATTTTGATTTTTCAAGTTGAGATTTAGTATTTGATTTGGGTTCAATTTCTTTTTCTTTTTTTTTTTTTTTTTTTTTTTTAACAAAGAGAATTACAAATTTATTAATCACCCAATCGGATTCAACCCGGACTTGAGTAGTATTGCTCATAGCACAAGTTGGGATTGGGTTGGCATTTCAATCCACTAGCCTTCCCATTGTGTGCAACTTATAAATCATCCCTTTGGAGCTATTTAAAAATCTCTGCGGGGGCTAAAGTCTACTTTCCAAATGAGGAAGTTGAGTGTTCGAGTTTCGGTGGAGGCATAATAAATATATAGCGGATAGGAGTTTGCTTCAACTTTATGAAGTAAAAAAAAAAAAGGTCTCCACAATTTCCAATAACTACCACAAGCTTGTTTGGTGAAGATTGAAGAAATGTTATGGACCATAACAACCAACATTGTTATGTGTTTTCTGCAATCAGCAAGAAGGGGAGTTATCTATTACCCAATCTTTCCAGAAATTCGTAGATGGTTTTGAACTATTGAAACTTAGTGGTCCAGTCTAATCCAAACTCTTTGATTAAAAAAAAAGTGAACCAAAAAGATTGTATTAATATAATACAAAGGAACTTAAACATTAATTTTGATCAAACTGAACTACAAAAGTGACCGAACCATCTAATAATTTTTCTAATTTTTGTATGTCCTTTTTCATCTTAAACATTTTGGTACTTCCTGTCTAACTAAGAGACAAGTGATGGGGGTGGAGTGATGGATATCTTTAGTTTCTCAAAGAGCTATGACTTGCAGCCTAATCAAGTACTGCAGTTGGTAAGAGGGCATTGTTAGGGACATCCAATAAGCATCTAGATTTACTTGATTGGAAAAGTATTGAAGCTACAGATCAAGAGATTTACAGTATTTTTTATTTTTTTATTTTTTTTTCCCTGGACAAACTAGGAGTAGGGATGGCAAATTATGGCATGACACGATAACGCGACATAAGTTAAAAGGATTTGGATTTCTCATAAACAGGTTTTGGTCATAAAAAGGTCGACTAGATTAACCCGTTTACTTAACCGTGTCGGGTTAAGATTGTGGGGTTCAACCCGTATAACCCGTTTATGAACCATTTAATTCAACATATTATACTCGTGAATATGACCTATGTAATATGTTACCTGTTTTAACCCAATTACTATAGATAGTTAAGTCACTTCAACATAAACCTTGTGTATGCCTTGTGATTTTTTTTTTTTTTTTGAATATTTGAGTTAATTATGACAATTTTTTTCTATTATTTAGTATTTGATTAAATATTAAATGTCTCGTTTTGATAAACAGGTTATTAAACGGGTTAACACGTTTACCTATTTAATAAACGGATTGAATTAGTGTTGAGGATTTTTTACACGATTATTAAATAAATTGGATTTGGGTTTACCTATTTAGTATAATACCCTTACATCGACGCGACACGAACACAACCCACGAACACGAATTGCCACCCCTAACTAAGGGAAAGGAAACTCAAACACGGGCACACCCACTTGGAGAACTCGACGTTCTATTAACTAAGCCATTCGTAATGTCGCCAAGGGATTTACAGTAGAAGGGTTACTTGGTTCCAATTTTTTTTTAATTATTTTCTGTTAATTCCTAAACCTCAACTACTACATTTCCCTAATTAACTAGTTTATATATATATATATATATAAGATAATTTCACCATTAATTAACCAACCACAAATTGACTTTAGTCCCGTCTTCTTTCTAAGAACATCCGCACTAGTCTCTCCGAATTTTGTCTCTTCAAAAATGCTTTCGCTCTGCGAGAATGGGTACTCTATCAGGCTCTCCAAATTTTGGCTCTACAAAAAAAATATATTAATTACTTAATTAATTTTTTTTTTTTACCTTTTTCAAAACGGCTACATTAGTAACCGCTTTATTCCTAACGGTTATATTTGTAACGGCTATATTTCGTGTATTAGAATTTTTATTACGTAATAATTGTTTAATATTTTATGTAATGATTTTTTAATATTAAAAATAATGAAATTGTTTCTCAATGGTAATATTTTTCTATCAAACAATATTTTTGCAAATTATTAAAAAAAATTAGGATTGATGTTATAACTTTAAATAATACATTATCCATTATGGACCAAAACAAAAAAAAAAAAAAAAATCAAATTAAAAGTTTTTTTAAAGCAAAAAAATTTTAAAAAATTAATTTTTAATGGAAAAAAACAAAAACAAAAAAAAACAAAAACAAAAAATTTTTTGATTTATTTTTAGCCCAAATCAATTTTGTTTTTTTTGGACAAACAGTGCCACAATACATTTTTTATTTAATAAATTTTTTTTTTTTTTTTTAAAAAAAAAATATGCTCAAATAACTCATTTTTTTATTTTTTCCAAAAAAAACTTGTAGCCAAACAGTGCCATGAGGCACAGTTAAAGAAAAATGCTCCCCCAAAAACAACTCCAAATAAGACAAAAAAAATTACAGCTGGCTTGGGCTCGTGGAATACCACGAGCCAACCCGCGAGCCATTGTGGGCCCACCCATTTTCGCACATGTCATATATAATTAAACCTCTACATATACAAAATATTTTCAGCACATAATTAACTAGGCCAATTAGCCTTGCCTTCGGGTTGCCCGTCGCAATTAATCAGTTGTCACCAAAGAGAAATATGCACGGCTATTGCTATTAACTTACTGAACTCATCAATTCAACTGTGACAAATTGACAATTAACTGAAAAATAAATTAAAAGTTGTCAAAAATTAAAGGGACTTGTCTGTACAGGGACGCCACAATTCCATAATATAGTGTGACCAAATGTCTAGAAATAAGTACAGTATTGATGAGGTTTGCTGACTTTGGCTAATATGTGGGTATTACTTGCCTTTCAATTCTACGTAGAATGATGCAACTATATGATATACATACAGATCTTATATTCACTAACCTTCAAAAACATGGTATTAAATGGTGCATTTGACCTCTCTCTCTTTTAGAGCTGCAAGTTACCTGCACAATGTCACTTAGTAGTCAGAGTAATCAATCCAATCTCATCTTTAACTTATATAATCTAAAAAAAAAAAAATTATAATAACTTACCAAAATCATTGATATTCAAGCAAAATTAATTTAATATTTCTTCTTTTTTTTTTTCCCATAGTCTGCAGACTTCATCCCAATCCTATTTTCTTGATTTTAGAATGGTTATGTAAGGAACGGGTCCTAACTACAAATTATTGTTTTTGGGTTAGAAATCCTTGTGCGTGTGTACAAGTTGTACTTTATATATCATATTTATAGGCCGAGACAACTCTCCAAGTTTAACTTATCCCCCAAATGACATCACAAGTTTAATCAATTTGACATTTAATAGGCATGTACAAGAATTCTTTTTAAGCTATAGAGTCGGAATGACTAGCGTCTCTCTCTCTCTCTCTCTCCCTCTCTCTCTATATATAGATACATACATACAAGTATTATGTACGTATCTTAGGTAGTCCGTGCATATATAGTATTGGAACTGATCTCTAAACTAGTTGACTTGCATGCGCTGACAAATGGCTGAAAGAATTGACTACAGAGATTTTCAACCAAAGGGCCCTTCCGTCTGCTGTACGGAAATAGAGCTATCTGATGGTGATGTGTTTGACAAAACCTCCAGCTTATGGTAGTCAGATAACGCTCACAACAACTTGTATAAATTTAGGAGAACATGGACTAAACAACGTTAGAAGCTAAGAGAAGAAGAGTTTTAAGTTTAAAGATGGACAGAGAAAAACGTACACTCGAAGACACACCCACATGGGCTGTTTCCATCTTTTGTTTTGCTTTCTTCTTCATCTCTTTTATCATTGATGTTGCTCTTCACCATCTGACTCAGGTATATGTGTGTGTATATATATATATATATATATATATATATATATATTTATATATACACACATATAATGTATGTTTGCACACGTCTTTATGTGCTAATGCATGTATGTGTACGTTTGAGTGCATGTTTGAAAATTTGAGAGATGGTTTTGCATGTTCCAGTTTCTCAAAAGAAGAAGCAGCAAATCGCTCAACAATGCTTTGAGAAAGATCAAAACAGGTTATCTACAGCAATCATACTGTTTCATCTCAGCAGATATATAATTTTTTCATATGCATTCCTAAGATGCCTAGATTTTCATGCGTTGATCACTCAAATTTTTAGGCATTATTACCTGACTAAATATTGGTTTTGGACTTAAAATGCAGAAATGATGATACTGGGTTTCATATCATTGCTTCTTACCATAGCAGAAGAAGTTCCCGTATCGAAAATCTGTGTTGCCAAAGCCGTAGCAAATTCTTTCCTTCCTTGCAAGGATCCTCAGCAATCATCCATAGAACCTAATGTTTCATCTGCAGCACAGATCTCAGACTTCAATTCGAACACAAACCTTAGTGGAATCACCAATGATCCCTTCTGTGAGGAAAAGGTGAGGAACATTAGTTAACCATAGTGTCAATCAGTATCATTAATAATTGATCAAACTGCGATAACATACCATGTTCAATATGTAAAATAGGTTCACATAATGCAAATTATGTTCTTTTGTTTGGTTGATAAGGAGTACAGGGTATGGTTTCTCTGGTGTCAAGGAAAGCAATTTTGCAGCTAAACATCTTCATCTCAGTCCTGGCAGTATTCCATGTTCTGTTCTGCATATTGACAATGTGTCTGGGGATGACTAAGGTACCAGAACAGTTATTAATCTTGCATTAACTGAATGGTGTACTGATCTATTGTCTCCAATCAGTGACACAACTTTAGTAAAAAGAAGTGGGATTTTTAGGATTATTTATGATATACTGGGAATGGTTCAAACTGACCACAAGTTTTGATCCATGCGATAAAAACATAGTTTTGATCAGTTTTCTTATATGATATAATGTAAAAAGTATATCAAATGAGCTATATATTCTTTACCCCATGTACATCTTCAATTACTTTTCATTAGATTCAATTTCTAAAAAATCTCAAATAATATTCCATGTCCTACTTTTGGCTATTGTTTGATAGCCTCTTGGTATATCTCAATAATTTCCCATTCGATTCCTCAAGAATTTAAAAGTTTACCTAACCTGTGATCTAGGGGTAAGATTTTGAATGGATTAGTCCCACTTCCAAACGGGGGTAAAGACAGCTTCAGCTATATGTGTGTTTGTGCGCGCGTGTGCAATATACCATTTTCGTATGACTGAATGAAACAGTAAGCTTCCCAATTCAAGTTCCAAATTCCAATCCATGAGTAACCTTTACAATCTAAGTAATCACATCATGAACAATTAATTTTGCATGGTCAATTAGTATCTAAAACAGCGTGGACAATTTATTCCCACCTTTGAAGAAATCCCCTTGAAACAGAACAAACACTATGATGATTGAATTACATTTCTAAATTTCATAATCCAAAAAGAATCAATATTACAGCAAAATTCAATAAAAAAAATAAAAAAAAAAAAAAAAAAAAAAAAAAACCCTTCAACTTTTTTACATTTGCAAATAACCCCTTTGAACTATAAAATCTTCAAAAAGCAATCCCTTGAACTATTGTAAAACCTTGAAATTTCCCCTTGCCGTTAATTTTCTGTTAAAAACATAAATGGGTTCTATTTAGACCAATATGCCCTTTGTCTGGACCAAATTACTTCCATATAAAAATATATGAAGGGATCAATTTTCAAGACTTACACAGGAAAAATGAGTTGGGTTATTTCAATATAAGATCCTAGTGTCTTGACTCAGTTTTGGATAACTTTGTTATTTCAAAATTAAATATCTAACTTAATTTTTCATTCTCATTTTTAAAGTACTTACGTAATTTAATCACTTTACTAACATTGAATGATGGAGGGGATTATTTGCAAATCTTTTATAATTTAGAGGGTTCTTCGATGTTCAGGGGATTATTTGCAAATGCAGAATAATTCGAGGGTTTTCTTTTTTCATTTTGGCCAAAGTATTATATATATGTGTTTGCATGTCTGTATATATGCATTCAGGTAAATATACATTCACGTGTGCATATAGTTACTATCCCATACTTACCTTATGGTTGCTTCTGCCTAATTTTAAAGCACAAAGGTAACGTTTACCAGTTACCACTAGGAAGGCAATTAAGACTTGAGAAAATCTAAGATGAAGGCCCCATTCTAGCATTTTCCTTAAGATTTATCTCAAACCTAAAACATAGCTTATCAAATCAATCTCTGAAAAAGTTCCAAATTCATCTTCAAAGGCGTGGCTTCTCTCATTTCTGTAAAATCAGAATCAATAACTCCACTCCTTTTTCTCTCTTTTCATATCCCTTTTCTTAATTGTTTCTAGTTTAGTAATTATCAAGATTTTGATCACTATTGTAGGAAAATATCATTGATTGGATGGTAATCCACAGTGCCCAGTCACCACCTAGATTGGCCCAACTTTTAATTGTGACGTTCCTACAGCATCTATGATAAAGTTTGTGCACACAATACACTTTTATGGAAATTATTATTAAATGAAAGTGAATTATATATGTTGTCATTTTTTTACTTGCTTACTAAGAAAAGCTTGCTGCTGCTACTCTCTCCACAACAATAAGTGACTAGTCCTAAAAAAAAAATTGTCAACAGATGAGGAGATGGAAAGCATGGGAAGAAGAAACTCAAACCATTGGGTATCAAATTGCTAACGGTAGTAACATTACGACCTGTTATTATATTTTACTTTTTCAAGTAGCTTATGTACTTTTTCAAAAAAAAAATTTACCATTTCATTGCATATCCCAAATGTTCCCTTTTTACCCAGGGAAAAAAATGTTTCCCTTTTCGAGCTGGCTGAAACATTACAGTAAATTCAAACTGATCTTTGCATGCACCTGGGAGCTCATCAAGTCACAATATAAGCACCTGATTCAACACTACAAAGTCCCTTTAGCTAGGTGCATGTAGAACTCTCAAGCATGTGTTTTCTGTAAGGCCTACTACGCTTCACAACCACCATACCATGGACCTATGTACTCCCTCAGGTAGCTTATTCTTCAATCAAAGCAAGGCTCCCTACCACCTCACCATAAGGACAACCTCCTTTACTTGAGAATCACTTAACAACCTCCCGAATTCATATAGTTTGTCTCTCTACTCCCCTCCCCCACCCTCTAACACTCGCACCACAGGAACACAGACTAGTGATAATATTCATTACAATGAGCAGTGTGAACAAAATAAAGAATAGATTAATAGCCTAAAGTGAACAGTATTTATTCAAAATGTAACCATGTTGCACCACCAGATAATGTTAAAAGAACCAGGTAAAATGCTTCACTTGACATTTTTCATGTATTCATTCCAACCCTCAATGTGTTTAAAATCTAATATTATGTCAATTTTAGAAATCTAATGTTGAATCATCAGTAAATTGAGATAAGGAAAATCCAAAATTTACAATGTCAATGATTATCTATGCACTCACAGAAGCAACAAAGTTAAAGTAGCATGCAACAATGAGGTAAAATCAAAATGCATGTGCATTGTATCTGCATGTAACATATCGTATATTTTCTTGTTCTTTCTGCATTCTTTTTGTTTAATAAAATGTTGGAAGTACAGATCCAAGGAGATTTCAGCTCACCCGTCAAACATCATTTGGGCAGCGACATTTGAAGTTCAGGAGTGACTATCCTATCTTTCTTTGGCCAGTAAGTCTGTTCCTTTCCAGGGGGACACCTGTAATAGTTTAGACCATATATTAAGCGAAAACTGACAAAAGTTAGATATACAAACTAATTCTTATAAGCTTGTACAAATTGGCCAAATTATTCCTAAAAATGTAGCTCCTTGACAGTTTCAAGTATTTTAGATAAAAAACGGAAGTGATTTCAAATATAACTGACTAATGAGCTCATAAAGTAACTTTGTCTTTTCAATTCAATAATCAGTCACGGCATCAATATTTGGTTTTTTATATGACATGAAAATAAGTTCCCGAAAATCCAATCTGTAACTTAAAATCGCAAAATTTATTTTAAAATATCCATTGTCATCAGTAGTTTCCTATTATTTTCATGAGACAAACAGTCAAATATCATGAAAATATAGTCCTGAGGAATGAATAACTTTTAGGATATACTTCTCTCACAACTTTGCAATTTCAACACCTTTGAAAAGCAGGTGTGTGTCTGCTTTCTTTTAACTTTTTGTTTTGAGACCTTCAACGGTGATGTGACTGTCAAAGAAAATTTTCTAACATTCATGGTCTTTAATAAAATTCACAATATCAAAAGTTGATTAAAAAATGACAATAACCACTGTCAAAGTGTCAAGTTAATTATCAAATACATATACATGCACACTTCCTTGCACATGCACATACAAAGAAATAGCAAACAAGCTTTTTTTGCCATCAGAAAATTTCCTTGAATTGGTTCCACATTTACCATTGACATTTAATGTCCTCTCTTTGGTTTAGGCTTGTTTTATAAGACAAATCAGTGGCTCCGTCTCAAAAGCTGATTACTTCACACTTCGCAATGGCTTCATAATGGTAAGCAAGAACATCTCAACCATAATGCCAAGTAGGAAATTTAGATAATGGACAAATGGAAAGGGAGGCATTTTAGGATCCAACCTTAACCCAGCTTTTGTTCTTGAGCTCGGAAGAGTTGAGAGCACAAATTTTTCACCAACAGGTTGGGTACTAGGGTTAGGGTCAATTAACCCAGCCTGAAGGGCAATGAGACATCATTAGGTCATAGACTAGATATAAGGATTTCTAGCCCAAGTGATTGGAGGAAAAAAAAATATGACTATTTTCAAAGGGGAAATGTTGAAGATACAGACATAAGTGATCTTCAATTTGCAACCTAAATTTTCATTTTGTAATATAGTTCATCAAATTATATATTAATGTAACATAATATCTTCTCTTTTTTTTTTAATGGTAAAGCAAACACACACGCCCATATTTTGCCCCCACCTAGGCTCGAACACTCAACCTCCCCTTTGAAGAGAGAGAGCTTATACCATCTAGGCTAGAGCCTGTTGGCAATGTAACATAATATCTTCCATCAAACAAGAACATATAATACCTGTCAGCCTTCTATGAAGCAGACACTAGGCTCCAAATACCATCATTATCAATAGTAAAAAAGGTCATTATCCATGGCGGGATTTATTATATATGAACCTAATCTTTAGCATTATTTTTCAATGTCATAAATTCTTCAACGATAATTTTTTTAAAGAAAGAGGTAAAAAGTTATATACATGTGACTTGATTGAAACTGTTACCTTAGAGCATAATGAAAATATAGGATTCTTTACCAACCCCAAGTAGTTCAGAGAAGGCTTTGTTTCTATGTTTATTTTTATTTATTATCATTTTTGTTTTTTCCTGTTTTTTTTTTTTTTTTTTTTTTTTTTTTTTGAAAGGTAAATTAGAAGTATACTACTATAAATGGAGAGAACTGTTTGTAATTATACATTATATAGTATAAATCAGAGAAAGGCTTTGTTTTTTGTTGTTGTTGTAGGTTAAATGTGATAAAAAGGTCAAGTACGGTTGACCCATAGATTAGGGAGGTGGATCAGGGTTAAGCATTTCAACCTAACCAAATTAAGGGACTGGGATATTTAGGCCCTCGTATGCTTGAAACAACCTCAGCTAAACTAGCTTGACCTAGGTTCAACCCTTAAGCATGGATGAGGAACTGTGGACAAACCTTGAATTTGCCTTTAAAGCAGCAATACGAATGAGCAAGGCAAAAAGCATGAATAAACTGACCTGAAGTCCATGGCAGGGTTGATAAACCCAATTGTAACAATGTCCTTTTACAACTAAAATCTGGTTTTTCTTGCTTGGTTTCCTAGGCCCACTTTGCTGAAGGCAGCAAATTTAACTTCCAAAAGTACCTAGCAAGAGCTTTCGATGAGGATTTTGAGCAGGTGGTTGAAAAAAGGTAATGATCACTTTATCACAGAACAATGGCCACAAATATTTAAGACTGAGAAGACTAGAAAAAATATTTATAATCACAAGAAACTACGTTTTTACTAATAAGGAAGAACCAATAAAACCTAATAAAAAAGATCACACAACCAAAAACTAAGATTTTATAAACTCTCTCTGTCTCTCTCGTGCAGATTTTGGATCTGGATCTACTCCTTACTTTTCATATTCTTCGGCGCACATGGTAAGATAGCCTACTGTATCTAATTCACTTAGACTGTGCTTCTTTTGTTTGAGAACACAAAAGGACAAATTAGACTGCATCCATGCTATTGGATTACGGGTGTAACTGTAGACAGTAAAGATGGTAGGTGTTGTGGGGGTCAATTTTTGCCCCAACTGCCTAGGCTGTTCTTGTCTAGACTCAAACAAGGCAGTTGTGGGCAGTTCTTATTGTAGCTTGCAGATAGGCAATGATGGGGCTGTGTTGACAGAGCGAAAGGAAGTCTGTGACTTTGCCCGCAAACATAAGGCAGACCATTCTACTTTTGTGAGCAAAGTAAAGGTTGGGAATCCTTGTTCCTGTATTTTGTGTGCCGTGGCCCGTGTGTATGATTGTGTGTGCGGGTTGGCTAATACTTGATGCGACCAAGGGCCATTACATAGGCAAAGTTTAGGAGAAAATTTGACCCCTATAACAGTAGGTTAATATATATAAATGAAGCATAACATAAACATGGCACATAAAGCCTACCTTTATCCATAAAATGGACTTGCCCACGAAAATAAATAAATAGAGGATTGAAGGAAGTCATTGATATAGAACAAATAGTGCTTTGATACCAATTGACACAGGAGAAGTAGTAACCAGAAAGAAAGAAAGAAGGGGATGAGAATGAGAAGATGAGATGAGACTAGACAAAAGAGGTGAGTAGACAGACGAAAGGGATGAGAGGATAGATTGAATGGGGTAGGCTGGAGAGACTGAGGGATTGAGAAAAGCAAGAAGAAGAGAGAGAACAAGACACGGAGGGAACCCTAATCTACATCAATTCCTAATTTCATTAATCTTTGCCCCTTCTCCAAAAGTAGAGGCGGAACACGTGTGGCTCATCAATGAAAATCATAGCTCGTTCTCCATCAGTCATTCTCCTTCAAAATATAGAATCTATTTGTTTTCGAAAATAAAATAAAAAATTTCTTGATCTCAATACGTGAAACCTTGCATGTTTTATAGACCAATTTCTTCCACAAAACTAAGAAAAGCCCCACACTCTTTTCTTTAATTTGTAGAAACAATTATGTCTCCATTTCCTCACTCAGTGTAAACTGATTTATCTGCAGGGTTCTACAACTACTATTGGCTACCTTTTATTCCTCTAGCGGTACAATGAATAACTCTAATATTGTTATCTTACATACAAATACATGCTTAAAGGATCGTGCTCTCGTTAATTTTTGAATTATCTGCTTTCATATCTTTTACTGAAGATTGCTATGGTTGTGGGGACAAAACTTGAAGTTGTAATAACCAAAATGTGTTTGGAAAGCTACAAAAGAAACGCTGTGATTCTAGGGGCTTTTCCAGTGAAGCCCAATGACGAACTTTTCTGGTTTCGTCAACCTAAGTGGCTTCTTCATCTCATCCAGTTCATCTTAATCCAGGTAGAGAAAATCAAAGAAAATTTCATTTACACATATCTTAACAAACACACCCAAAATCACACACACAAATCACCAGAGAGAGGGATGGAGAGGGAGAGACTCAGACAAGAAACTAAGTCATGAGCAAAAATGAACAACTAAATGCACATAAAATGATTAAAGGAAAATAGGAAACTAACTCATGAGCAAAAATGAACAATTAAATGCACATTAAAAGATTTAAAGGAAAATAGGAACTTTTTAGTCATATCACCATGTCTTCCCATTAGAAACAAAATTTCCCTCAACATAATAGCGCAAGCAAGATGTGATTTGCTTGTCCTTATATTATGTGCTATTTCATATTACAAAATTAATTATGCAAATATAATATCTGTAATAGCAAGGAAAGAAGTAAGAAAATTCAACGGAAATATAATAATGCTTACTACCAAAAAGTAATGTTGTTGTTCAGGCAGGAGCAAAGAATAAGTTATGAATTACTAATTGTTAAGTATATCTTTATCAGATGAAATTATCCTAAATGAAGCATAGATGTCCATATTATGTGCTTTAATAAGATTATGACTACAGCTCTTGAATTATATTGCAGAACTCCTTTCAGCTGGCATTCTTCACTTGGACATGGGTAGGTATCTAAAGTTGGTAAATACAGAATTTTTTTCACATTTTATGCTGACCCCATTGGCAAACTACAGTATGAGTATGGCCTAAGATCTTGCTTCAATAGAGAAGATATGGACATAGCCTTAAGGATTGCTACGGGCGTGATTGCTCAGTTCCTTTGTGGTTATGTGACCCTCCCTCTTTATGCACTCGTGACACAGGTACAGATTCACATATCCCATCCAGAAAAGACCAAATGCAATAGATGTTTCTAGGAACCATGAAATGAAGAAAATTTATTTCCTTTACATAGCATCTGAATGCACGTAGAAATAACTTCAGACAGAATTACTCGGTCAGAAAGAGAGCATAAAATTAAAGGCACTCTTCTGATAGACATTCCAATGACAGGCAATAATGCAAAGCTCTATCCATCATGTTTTTATTTACTAGAAACTAATATTCTACAATTCAGGAGAACTGACAAACAGAAAGTCAGTTAGTGTCACAACCAATACTCCAACTAGAAGAATCGCTGAAAATAATTTAGTGGCAAACAAAGTGAGCAGCTAGAATGCCTAATGACAATTCAGTGTAAGACACCAAGGAATGAGAATGTACCTCACAATTCCCAACAACTTCTGGTAATGTTTCTGGTGCAGGTTTACCAAAAAGGATATTCATATATATATATATGCAGGCGCAATAGCTTCCCACTTAGCACAGAACAAATTTATTTGATAAATAAAAGCTCTTGTTAAAGTACATCAATTAAAGAAGTAGGGAGTCATACCCATGTCTGTATTTATATTAAAGGAGGAGGGAGTCATACTCATGTCTGTATTTATATCAGGTAGAAAACCTAAAACTATCAACAAATAGGCTTCAAATAAATTGACCTAGCTGATCCCTTTGACAGTTATGCAGCCCCAAAGAGAATTATATAGCCAATATAGACAGTCCAAAAATAAACCAAAAATGGTCCTCAAGTTAAAGGGCTGAATCAAGAAACTCACCTCTAGTGCAGGCAGATTGCTGTACAGTCTATCCAATTAGTATAACACCACGACATATGGAATACTTTCTCGCAAATTGTGTCAAATGACCCAAAACAAAATAAACATATTCACTCATAAAAGATCAGTTCGTTGATAAGCTTCTAATTAAAGTGTGTCAATGAATAACTTCTCTGCTATATCTGATAATATTTTTCATCATGATCAATCAATATAACAGATGGGTTCGAACATGAAGAAAGCTGTATTCAGTGATCTTATAATTAAGGGTCTCAAAAACTGGCATAAGCTTGCAAAGCGCAATATTTCCAGAAACAGATCAAGTGTGATCATCTCAACAGATTCATGGCCTATTGACAGCACTGAAACTTCATCATCGGACAGGAAAAGCTTATATAATCCAAAGGTTGGCCACCTTCCTCCCTTAGAACTCATGCTCTCTCCAAGCCAAGAAATCACTGAAGAGACAACGCAACACTACCATATTCCTCCAGCAGTTACAAGCTTATTAAGTCCTGAAATCACTGAAGAGAAAACACCTCACAAGATCGTGGCTAGAGGAACCTATGACGGTGAAATCTCATTTGCAAGCAACTGGAAGGACTTGGTGAGTGGAAAGGGCAGTGAAGACATCTCTTTATCATCAGTTTGAAGACGACCCTGGGTTCATAACTGACTTCAATCTCTAATATATCGTTCCTTGTGAATTCTTCGTCTTATAATGAAATTGCTAAGTGCATACTGGTGCAGACATTCCTTTTTCTTTTTTCTCTTTTTAGTAGGTAAGATACACACACAAGCACCCACTATGTGCCCCTATAGAACTTGATCCCCCAACCTCCAATCAAAAAGTTCTCTAATTCCTGCCTATTCAAGGGGAAAGCAGAAAGCACCACTTCAATCTCAATTGAAAGAACTGACACAAATTGTATTCTTCTTTGGTAGCTAAGAGCAAATGGCAAATTTTCTACTGACAAAAAAAAAGGTAGATCTAGGACATTGGTGGCACATTTTGGAACTACAGGTGTCCCTATTACAGCCCCAAGTAATTAACAAACTCAAAAGTGTTTCAAGACCAACTGTAGAGAAACAATCAAAGACAAACTTCAATCAAATAAGAATGTGCATAGTTGTAACAACAAAGTCCATCAATAACATTGTCGTAGTTCATGCCATGCCACAAAATATTCATTTACAGAATTCCTATTACAAACACTACATCCTTGTTAACCCCAGGGGATTGCACTGAATAATTTCCTTGAAGAAGTAACATGCTGCACAAAAGTTTTGAACCGCATGGAACTCTATACTTCATTGAGGAAATTTCATTGTTCATAAGGTTTACACTAATATTTCATTTCTTACCAGAATGACACATGATATCCCTGAAGTGCTCCAGAAAATTCTTGAAATGGAAGCCATGTTGCTCTAACATTGACCTTTTTCCCACACCAATAAGCTTCCTGTTAATTTCCATCGTTTTGAAAAACTCCTCTTCTAAAGCATCCCAAGTTCAAACTGTAATAAGCAGAGTCTTCAAATTAAGTTCTTATAGCATCATAGCATTATTGAAATGGTTGATTATGAGTTCACATAAAGTCCAACAGCCCCTTGCACCAGAGTCTTCTATTTGTTCATCAAAGAGGACCAAGACTCCTTATCAAGGATTATCCACGTGGCCAGTAACTCTATTGCATTCATGTTACTCAAAGCTAAATATGTGGTACCAAGGCCTAGAACTTAGAGATATCTCCTCTCCTTTCAAAATGAAAGGTGAAGGGTTCAAGTCTCCCCAAGGGCATTCTGGAAGTCTTTTGCAGGGGAAAAGAAATGCTTAAACATGCAGTAAAAACCAAATTGATGTAAAATTTGGGTAGAATAATTTTTGTTATAAGTTTGGGGAAACAAACAAAAAAGGAAAAAAGTATATATTAGAATATTGTCAAAAACCACCATATTTCTTAAACTTGGCTAAAATATCAGGGAAATGGTTCAGAATTTATAGCAGAATTCAGCTAAATAATCTAGAAATTGAGGGCATACAATAATTGTCCATTCATTGGTTGACCCGAGCAAAGTTCAATTTCACCCAATCAAACTACAAGGGACACTACTCAGTTGAGTCCGTTCTAGTCCCGCAACAGTTGGGTTATAGCACTGAGAACTCAGGACAGACCTAACCTTTGGTATTTCACAAAGTAGTTGCTCTGAGAACCCATCAATCTACAAATTAAAAGAAAAACACAGCATCTGCAAATCTGAGTTTTGAAGTAACTGTACTTCACAAATTAAGTCCATAATTTAATCTGCCTTGCCAAGTAATGATACTTCACCATGTCAACTATTACAGGAGTTCATGTCAAAATCACGTGACAAGGGACACAGGTACGACGCATTACAGACACTGTGATACAATAGGTGTGAAAGAAATAGGACATGCATACGGCAGGATATGTCAAAAAATAACAATATAATGTATTATAAAATATACAAAAAAACAAAAACAAAAAATATTGCTTATTTTAACCACAGTATCTTGACTGAAATCACTAATTTGGAGCATAGAGTTAGATGGGTGTTGTTATATTTTAAAGGTGCATTGAAATCCCATTTTTTGACATATCCTGTCGTATCCATGCCCAACTAGGAATTTTATATTCTCAAGTTTCCTTCAGCGGACATCTAAGTTTAGTTTCAAGAGAAGCTTCTTAGTACAATCAACAAGCCTAGCAAATGTAAAATGCAATACCGAATTTTGCTCATAATTCATTTTCTAACTAACCTCTTCTAAAATTAATAACTGAATTAACAAAGAAATTCCGAAAACTTCATGGTGACCACATCCAATGGAATTGCAGTTTAGAGGGAAAAGTCTAAAAGAAGCGAGCAAATCATTCATAATTGATGCCCTTCTGGAAAATACTACATAAACAAACAGATTCTCAACCAGAAATCAAAGGTTATTCATCAAAAAAAGTCAGTCAAAACGCGTACCTGTGATCGTTGCTGAGAAAATCACAAGTCCATCACCATTATTGAACTCAAACCACTTCTTTGTCCGGCATAACTTCATCAAATAGCACCACCCAATTCCACCAACAGTCATCAAACCACTCACCACATACACAATCCCGGTGGCTATCGCCATAATCAACACCAAAAACCCAAAGAACAAACCCACAACTTGTAAACGGCATGCCACCTCCCAGCGGCGACCAGCGAAAATCAGACGACGGGCGAAATCAAAGAAAATTGATGATGGTGTGGTGGCTCAAAGTTCTCTGTGCAACTCAGCCTTGAGTCCACTATCGAATCGTTCAAATCCGTGCGCCCTCAGAATTGCGAATATCCCCGCCAATGAGCCGCGTTTGATTTACAAGGGCTGGATCTTGAAGGATGATCAAACCCTAGAAAGCTACGGTATTTTAATTGATTCTTACCATATATATGTGGGACATTTTGCTAAAACCAGTGATAGGCTCCAATGCCATCGATGGATCTCTATCAAATGAACATCCAACGTAGTCAGCATCTGAGTATCCCTCCAATGCCAACGTCCCACGTTTGAATAACAGTCTGTCATCTAAAGAATTCGTTTGACGACTGTCCAATGTAAAGTAGTTGGTTCATGCATATGTTGACACACTTGATTCACGACCTATGCTGGATTAGGCTTAGCAAGTGTAAGATATTGTAGAGCTCACACAATACTGCGATACTCAGTTACATCATGTAATATTTCATCCAATAAACCAACTTCTATTGTGCCAAAAGGCGTGGTGCATGATTTAGCATCTTCTATGTTGGAGCATATAAGCAAATCAAGAGTATATTTCTTCTATGTTAGGTATAAACCATCACTGGATGTATAGGCTTCCATTCAAACAAAATATTGCAACGATCCCAGATTTTTTATTGCAAATACTGTTGGAGTTATGTTTCAAATTGATTTTATTAATCTATATTTATGAAGACTTTAAGTATTTTACAAACGCTAAACTTAACCTGATACATTTAATCTACTTTAGTTAATATGTTATTTATGATCATAATAAATATATCTTCATTAATACTAAGTTAATTACATCCTCACTTATATTGGAGTAAATAGAAGGTTTACCTAGCCTACAAAAGACACTCTCAATACAAGTAAGAGAGAAAAAAGAGATTTGAAAAAGTATTTTCAAATTATTGAGTTTGAGTGTATGAGTTTCATATTTTCCGGACGGAGATAAATATACAAGTTCATAAAGAGAAGTGCAACATTCATGAACATACAGATTTGATATCTTGGCTTAGTTGAATCCCGAAAATAGTACTGCCATTTGTCTTCCGTTTGTACGTGGAAGAGACTTCAATTATCTTTAAGAAACGATTACGAGCCTCAAAGCCTCAATATTTCCCATTTCAATATATTGGTTCTAACAATTTGAAAATAGTTTTCTCTCCAATGGATTCATTTTTGTTGTTGTCCAGCATTGTTTATTCGGTTAATTTCTGAACCGAATATCCAGGTTTTTTATGGTAAAAAATATACCAACGGTGGAAAGGAAAATTTTATTTTTCCTTCAACAATTGAAAATCGTTTTTGTCATGACTTAGCTATGTCCAACTATTCTGGGGGACAAAACATTATCTGAACAAGTTTTAATTTGATCAATGAGAAGATATCAAGGTGGATTGAATTGGCATATCATCCTACTAATGTTATGTTTGGTGTGAATGGAATCAAATGAAGGTGGAATGAAATGCATTTGTTTCCATTCTTTTGTTTAGTGTGTCACATTACAAGTGGAATGGCCATTCCTAAGGAATGCCCATTCCATCAAAAAGGTGGAATGCCCATTCCACTTCTTGAGAGGTAGAATGACCATTCCATTCCCGCCAAGAATTAATAAAGTAATAAAATAATTTAAAGAGATAATTCACGCATACACACACTATATAAAATATAATACAATATATATATATATATATATCTATATGCTGTTTTTTCCCCTCCTCTCTATCTCGTTTATTTTTCTCTCTCTATTATCTCTTTCCCTTTTATTTTTGCAAATTAATTTTTTTAGTTAATTTTTTTTACTAATAATAAAATGTAATTTAAAGAAACAATATAAATTCATTTTATTCTAACTTTCTTACCAAACATAAGAATGAGAATGAGATTCCATTTTTACACATTCCATGTTTACAACCAAACGGTGGAATGAGAATCATTATTCTCATTCCATTCCATTCCATTCTCATTCCATTCCCACCTCTATTCTCATTCCATTCCATTCTCATTCCATTCCCACCTCTATTCTCATTCCATTCCAATTCATTCCACCACACCAAACATGCCCTAAAGGTGACCAAAATTCTTCCATACCTAGTGGGGGAATCGTGTAACCCAATATCCTATGTTGGTGGGCACAAGAGTAATTGGATGAAATTGCACTTCTGGTAAGCTGGTCATTCTAAAGGATGAACACCATATTCCTAATATTCAAATGAATATGGTTTATAATTCCTTTCCTTTCAAGTGTGGCTTCAAGGTTATCTTTGAATTTGGTATGTTATTTGAAATAAGCATTTCATTAAAGGTATATCTAAATTTGTAAAATACTTGTTTTTATTTGAAATAAGCATTTCATTCAAGACTTTTATTGAATCTTAACTTAAAACTTTTTCAAATAAAAACAAGTATTTCAAATAAGAATCTTAACTTAAAACTTTTTCAGACAAGAATTATAATTACTTAACAACAAGTATTTTCGAACTAAATGCAAATAAAAAATAGTTTCATTCCTTCCAAGTACGACAACAAAGCTATAATTTTTTTGATGCTAGTAATTTTTAAAAATTTAAATAATAAAAAGAAGAATCACTTTAGATGCGAGTTAAAGATCAAAGTGGTTAGACATGTAAATATAATATGAGTTGAAAGTAGCTTGTAGTGCATACAAATACAACTGATTGTGGATCTCTGGTCAATTGTCTGATAGAGAACAGAGCTCATAGCAAGGCCATGAGAGCTCCCTCAGGGTAGCCTTACCTTGTCCATTAACACAACTTCATTTTGCAATAATTTCTTCCAAACTCCGATTAATTAATTATCCAACCAAGAATATGAATGTGCAATTAATTAAATAAAGCACAACTGACCAACAGTAGTTGAGCATGGTAGACTTGAGGTGTTATTATGAACAGACAGTTTTCCTTTTGTTTTTGGGTTGGTGAGAGAGACTAAGAGGTTATATGTGACAACCTAAGAATGATCCACCTGTTCTAGAACTTACTAGGGCATATTATACATAGAACTTGGTCCCACAAATATTTACTTTTCAAATATCTACACAATGAAAACAAAAAAAATTTAGAGTACAAAAAATGGAACAATGCGGGAATTCTCTCAATCAGCACATGACAAAACGGACCCACAATATGTATATATATGTATATATACGCTATTAAAGAATAAACAATATATATAATGTGATATGCATAGTAAGTTAGAAAAAATTGAGGAGGACAAAGCGCCCTTCCTAAAATGTAACAATATATATAATGGTCTTGTAGGGCTCCAACATATATTATGTTTTTTTTCCAACAAGTCCAGAAAATAAGAGTATTTTAGCCTTGTGTCGAATTGATGAGGTCTAAATTTTTTTTTATATAAGTTCAAAAATGTAATCGGTATTGGAGTTATATAATAACAAATATTAAAGTAAAATAATAATTATAAATTACCATAAAATCATGTTAATTGCAATTGAAATCAGAATAAATAATGATCACTAACAAATACGTAGTATTAGGTGTTCAAAGAATATTGTTCAGAGGTTAATTAGATGTATTATTTTAATATATCTGCCTCTTTATATTTATATTATTTTATATGCAGGTTGTTAAAACTATACATCATTGTCTACAAAGCACATAACATGTCGACGAGGCCAATGTGGAATACCATTGGCTTGAAGGTGCGTAATTGGAATAATGGACCTACCAAATCATCATACATGTATGTATGTGTGTGTGTGTGTGGTATATATATATATATATATATATATATATATATAATGACATGCTATGTTGTTGTTTTCTGTACAGATAGTGAAACTAGACATATGGTAATGGGCGTCCCACATGCCATGTTATGACAGGCTGCTTTTCATGTACACCTTCTGTTTGTCAATTTTGATTAATTAATTTTTTTCAATGATTAATTAATAAGCTGCTTTTCATGTACACCTTCTGTTTGTCAATTTTGATTAATTAATTTTTTTCAATGATTAATTAATAAGTTCATATATATATATATATATATATATATATATATATATATATAAATCTGTCATATATTATATAATATGTAAATCTGTCAGCTACTTAGGTGGATGTGGTTAATATATTCAACTTAATTTAATTCTGAAATGTAGAGTCCAAGGGCATTAAACTGGAGTTGAGCTGGATTAATTATCCTACATTATATTTGCATTAATAGTCAATTGGGCAACATGGTTAGTTGAAGTTGTGTTTGGTCCCATTTGATATAATTAAATATAATTTAGTTTGTATTCTATATTCATAAACATATATACATCAATGAAATCTCAAAACAAATAAAGATAATAATCGTCAATTAAAAAAATTATTATGAAGTTCACATCTCTTCCAAAATTGTAAAATTATTATTATATACATTATAGTTCAGTGAGAAAAAGAAAAAGAAAAATGATTTAAGATACTGCATGGTATATCTAATTTGCTAAGATCTCATTAATCAGGGATAAAAAAATATGAATAGAATTATCGTTCAAATTAATTAAAAAGTTTGTCTTGCTATTTGTTTCGACAGTAAAAGTTTTGTGAATAGTCATTTGTAATGAACCGTTTATCCTCATAAGAAAAGCTATGTTGTAATGAGTGTCGCAATGAATTGAATTTTCCTTTAAAACAATGTTTATTTTTATGTGTCCATGCATATAATGTTTGATCTAATTAGTGAGAAAAGCTTAATTGGAAAATAAATATATTTTTTGGTGATTAAAAATAAATTTATTCAGACAAATTAACATGTGGATTCAGTAGTTTATCCATGTTTGATCTAATTATATTGTAAACTATGGTAGACCCGATATTGTAGGTAGACCTAATATTGCATACTATGGTTTAATATATAATTTCTTTCTACTTTTTCATTTTTCAATAGTGTTTGTCTTGATTCAAAGTCCACAGACAGCTCATTCCAACAAAGCCTAGAGGCCCTTAACACACACACATCTTATCCCATAAATGATAAATCCCACCACTTCCAAACCCCAAGCTCCACCACCACCACCACCACCACCACCACCATGGCTTACACACCTATCTCTCTCATTCCTCTAGCCTTGCTGCCACTTCTCTTCCTCTCCTGCCCTCAAACCCTAGCCCAATCGGCTCCGGCCCCGGCCCCCTCCGGCCCAATCAACATCACCGCAATCCTTGTCAAAGGCGGCCAATTCACCACCTTCATCCGCCTCCTCACCTCCACAACCGACGTGGCCAACCAAATCAATACCCAAGTCAACAGCTCCACCGAGGGCATGACCGTCTTCGCCCCCACCGACAATGCCTTCGACAACCTACCGGCCGGCTACCTCAACAACCTCGAATCCCAAAAACAAGTGCAGCTTGTTCTGTACCATGTCTTGCCAAAGTTCTACAGCTTGCCTAGTCTCTTGACCGTCAGCAACCCGGTCCGGACCCAAGCCACCGGCAACGACGGTGGAGTCTTCGGCCTCAACTTCACCGGCCAGGGCAGCCAAGTGAATGTGTCCACCGGCGTCGTGGTGACCCAAGTCAACAACCCTTTACGTACAGACTTTCCATTAGCTGCGTACACGGTGGACAAAGTGTTGTTGCCGTTGGAATTCAACCAAACCAAGTCTCCAGCACCCGCTCCGACACCGGCAACCACCACCGTGAATGGCACAAAGACCAATACGACTGTGGCGGCGGAGCCACCTTCGAATGGATCGGGACGGATGAGAATAGGGTGGGGTTTGGTTGCAGGGATGGGGTTGTTTTGCATGGGGTTAGTGTCATGATCGAACAGTAGATGAGTGTAGTGTGGTGTAGTGCTATGTGGGTTTGGCATCTATATCTACATGCATTTTTTTTTTTTTGTTTCTTATGTTTCTTAATTTTCTTCTTTTGCTTTATGCATTGCTTGATTGTTACTTCATATATATGAGGGGTCTGGTTACTTTTGGTTTTAGTTGCATTAATTTGTTTTATTGCAATGATGTAAATGATTTCTTGATTATATCAACGTCACATGCATGTGCCTTGAACATAAAAATATGAAAAATGAGAATATATTCCATGAGTTATCTCTGGTGTGAATCCACACACACACACACACACACACACGTAGAGGTCAAGGGCAGACCGACTAAGCGAATTGCATGAGAGGGAGGGATTTTATTTTTATTTTTTTTAAATGTGAGAGGGGGGCGATTTTGAACAATAATAACATATAATGAGTATCATTAGAAAATGATTGAGAATATTTTTAAGATTTTCACAAAATAAAATAACGTAGGAACATTTTTAAAATTTTCACAAAATTTATAAATAAATAAGTTTAGTGTCCCCACTGAACTCTTGATGAGTCCCAGGCTCGCATGTGTTTTTTACTAAAGCTGAATCTTCTTTTGTTCAATTGACGATTATCGAAATCACTCTGGATAGAAAGTGGACCCATAAACAGAGCGATCACAATCTCCAAATACTCGTGCATGTGGAGAGTTTAGTTTATATGGCGTATGAATAATTCAAAAATTAACATCAACACTGACTGGACCCGTTAATAACAACGGGATTTTGATTCCAATTCGATCTGACTAGTAATTCAGAATTAAATATTTAATTTAATAATTTGATCAAAATTCGAATCTGATAATTCCATAAATTATAGTGTTCTATCATATATATATATATATATATATATATATATATACATATTTGTGACAAGAAACTCTCACAACACTTATGTTGTGTTTGATATGTAAAAATGGAATAGAATGTAAGTAGGAATAAAATGAGAATGTAAATGGAATGGAATGATCATTCTCATTTTATTGTTTGGTTGTAAATATAAAATATGCAGGCAGTGGCGTAGCCAGGAATTTCTTCCGGTGAGGGCAATTTTTAATAGCAATAATATATATATATATATAATTTGAACCAAAATAATATATGTAAAAGTTAAAACATTGATTCATAACATTTCTATTCAGTACACTCACAAATGCCCTCGACGATTTTTCATATTCTAAAAGCGTAAAATAATAATATCATTGTCAACATTACTAAATATGTCTCTCTCAATATACACAACCATCATATCATTTATTCATTGGTCTTCCATTCGATTGCGCAGTCGAGTTTTCAAAATATTCATGGCAGAAAAAGCCCTTTTCCACTGTGGCAGTAGCAACTGACAAAATCAATGCCAATTTCAAAAGCAAGTAAACTAATGGATAAGCCTTGTCTCTTTTTGTCGTAACCATTCTTCGAGCAAAATCACCAATTCCTTTTTAATTTGAAAACTCCTCGTTAGAGCACATGTCAATAATATAAGTGTTAAGTTGATCAGTTGATCACCAAGTTTTAGGAGGTCTATAAAATTCAACAAGTCGGATTAGTTTTTCCTTGTCAAAAGAAGCGAATGAATCATATGGACACAAACACGATATACAAATAAGCAACTCAGTGTTTGACTTACTGAAACGACTATTCAGCTCTTGAAGTTACATGTCCAACACAGCATAAAACAATTGCACATGATAGTAATGCAAATTTGTGATTTCATTATCTTTACGTCGTGATCGCCCTGGAGTTACAAGTGTATCATTCATGTTGGGAACTTCAATACCATGTTTTTCACAAAAAGAAGAAACTTGATTGAGTAAAGAATCCCAACCACTGTCTCTCATCATTTGAAGTTCTTTCTTGCATACTTTAATCAAGGACATAGCATTTACAATGTCTTGATTTTTCTTTTGCAGTGCCTTTGACAATTCATTTGTAACTCCCAAAATAGCCCTCAATAAATGGAGAGTAAAGACAAAACTGAATGACTGCATGAGTGTCAATAAAATTTTTGCTTCAGATCTCTATTCAACATATGATCTATCATCTATAATTATCTCAAGCACATCAATAACAGACGAGAACATGGAAATCAAGCTGATTAAAGTATCATAGTAAGAGCCCAAACGTGTATCACTAGCACGCTTCAAAGTAAGGTAATTTACATAAACCTCTCCTATGGTTTGTCATAATTACATGTGGCACCCTTCCTGTTCCGGAAATTACGCAGACCTCCCTGTGATACCCCCAGATTTTCGGATGTGGGTTGGCCAGGCCCACGCCCGATAACCCAAGGATATCAAATCAATTAGCAATTTAACGAACACAGAATACAATATAGGAAACAGGAATAAATAAAATTTTGCTGAAAAGAACTAAAATGAAAATCCTTTAATGGAAAAAACCTCCGAATAAACTTTATATACAAGAACTAGTTTGAATACACCAACTTCTCCTTTACTTCTAATACAACTCGGGAATCCATCTTGTGGACCCCTACTAAAAAATATTCCAATACTGAACATGAACAACTGCAAAGAAAACTAACGATCATAATGAGAAGAAAATACTCCTACGTCGTCGGTGGAATGAATAACTGTATCTGCTCAGCACGATCAAGCTCTAAGCCTGGAACTGACGAACACCTGTAAAAATAAGAGTGGGTCAGGCCCACATGCAAGTTCTATCCTAACTGCAATCCAGACAGTGACCCGATACGCAGATACACCCTAGATATCTCAGCAATAGCTATCTAGTCCATACATATATAAATATCCACACTAAGGGACATTCACTGGACTATGTAGGGGGTCTCAACCTGAATAGAAGGCAACATGCAAAAACACACCCAAAGGTGGGCATGAGTACCTAGACCTAACAGGGTACACCTCAACCTACTATAACCAGCTACGCATCCACTGCATATACGCACCCTAACCAACGAGTCTGAGACTCAAGCTCATCTCGCGGTACCATAATCATATATTTAAAATCCGTCCAAACCAGAGTATGTCATTCAATTTCTTTGTTGATCTAACATAAGACGTATAATCAGTTAATCACTCAACTTACTCAGTTGATCTGACTTAAACAAAATTAGGATTCAATATTTTACAATTCTTTCCTTTAATCCAATAGGTTAGGTATATGCGTTTTGAGCTAAACCATCCCTAGTATGACACCGTCCCATACTGGTGCATACAACCCTCCATATCCATGTAATTGACAGAATATATATTAATCCAGCAATTAAAATCCAAAACCATGTAAAAATTACAGACTATGATAAATAGTACAGCAATTTAATATCCAAAATCAAAATCCAAATAATTGCAGAAACGTATTTAAAGTTTCAGCAATTTAAATCAAAGAGTTAACCCATGTATTGTTTAACAGTTTATCAACTAGCATCCAGAGCATGAATATATCAGTTTTAGTAAATCAACAACTCTATCGTGCAATTTAAAAAATTTTAAAATCACAATATTGTCCAAGAATTTGCTAAAATTAATTCTAAATTACTTCTAGCAATTCAGTTCCTTTTATCCGTCAAAAGCAAGCTAGGTTGCATACTTGTATATTGTTTTATTGTTCTTGCACCGAGCCATAAACTATGCTATGAGTCCAATTTGTTAATTAAAAGACTTCCTTATGCATCTAAAATTTAATTTAGAATCATGTTATAACACTCCAAATTGTCAAATTAAAATTAGACAATTTTATTTCCTTCCAGCCGTTAACCGTAGGCAAACTTGTTAATTAGCGCACTTTTAATTCTATTAAAACAAAGGGGTATTTTATGCAATTCAAGACCTTGATTACATGTTAAAATAATCTTTTGAAAACCCCATTAAAGTTTTAAAACTGTTTAGAAACCCCAAGTGATCGGTTGATCAACTAAACATCAACCTTCGCAATAGTACGAATCATTGTAAAATAGGGCTATTGGTCGGGTAAGTCGAACCACAGGGACTGCGCTAGTCTAATACAACCTAAATGTCTAGAATCATTCTTAGAATGATGAAGGGTGTATAGAGGTTTTGTTGGATGTCACTTAAGCTAGGAAATTAAAAGTGCATAAAACAATAAATTGCAAGAATTCAAGGGAGTCATCCCTATACACATGCTAGGTTAAGATTAATTTAAGGGGAAAACAACATATATGATAGTCATGATACATAACAATACTAGGTTGCTATAATATCCTTAAGAAGTTCATTTAAATAGAAAGGCAAGAATAAACCATCAAAGGTTCACATGATCAACTACCTAAACTAAAATGTAGCTTAGAACATGCTTACTAAGCCAAGGATTATCAAGCCCTAATTTAAATGGTGAATGCACATAAAGCTAAGAATCAAGTATAGCCCATCAAAGGGAAACCCTAAGCCATGAACTATCTAGGTTCTCCAACTCCATGCCATTAAAACCATTCCATGATCTAACTTCCATTGTCACCATGGAAGTGCAAGCAATATGATTAAGAAAAGCAACCATCCAAGACAAGATGAATAACTCACAATAATCATTTAAAACATTCAACATTCATTACAACAAAAATGAGGCTCTTGATCATGGAAAGACTATCAAAAATACATTGCAATCCCCAAAAATAAACTATACTAACACATGCTTACAAGGGAGGGGTTTCATCACCTCCCTAGATGAGGTTTAGTTGCCCATTGGTGAGCTAGAAGAAGGAAGAAGCTTGAAGACCTCCTCCATTTTCGTGCTCCCTTCTTCAAGCTTGAAGAACTCTCTCCCTTTGCTCTCTTCTCTCTCTTCTAATCTTGTAGAATATGGGATAATGATATGTGTGGCCTTCCTTGCCTTATCTACCACCAAAAGGTCACCAACCAACATCTCCAACCACTTCATTAAAGAGGAAAGCAAAGTGAAGAAACCAAGGTGCAAGTGGGCTGAAATGAGCCATTTCCGAAGGGCATTCTGCCCAAAATTCGAGCACTCTAAGCAAGGCCTCGAGCACTCGAATTTAGTGTAAAAATGCCCATGCTTCACTTGCTCCGCCCAGACCTACTTTGGTTAAACAGCCATAACTTTGCACTCCGAACTCCGAATGATGAACCGTTTGAAGATTTAGAAAGCTAATTCAGAGCTCTA